GGCGCCCCCCGTCTGAGCCACAGCCCCCCTCCTGCCGCCTCCTTCAGCCCCCTCCCCCCCTCCCTCCAGCGCGGACCTCCCAGCATCATAGCTGCCTCGGCCCCCCACTCACTACAGACCAGAGCGGGAGACCAGAGCGTACTTACAGCAGGCTTCATTTCTCTAAAGAAACTGTATGAAACAAGAAGGCAAAGCCAAGAATTTAACAAAGTGTTGGAAACACAAAGAGACTCTTTCTACGTTAACAAAGCAAATTCATTTTAGTCAGACCAGGAATGTAGTTTTACCCCCATTCTGCCCTTGAGCAGACAGCACTTCAACATGTAACGTTCTAAAAACCGGCGCTCAGCGAAGTCGCAGAAACACCACGTCCCTTGAAATGATCGCTAACGCACTCTGCATCACCTGCCCCGTATGCACACCCTCATCCATCTCTGCGTCGTAGCTGAGAAAACTGTGAATCCCCCCTCCCTCCCTCATCCTCCCTCTTTTTTTCCTGCTGCCACTCGTTTTGAATGCATGAAGTGTGATTTTCTGCATTTGCTGCTTTGTTTACTTCTGTTTGTTTTCTGTACAAACAATTTATTAGATTTTTTTTTTTTAGTTTGTTCCATTTTTTTCTCCACTCCTCCATTAGTTATTCACGCCCTCTCCCTCCTCCTTCTCTTTCGGGCGTTGTGATTGGGTGAAAGCAGAAGGCACCTGGGCAGAATGGGGTTAATAACAGTAGTGTGTGTGTTGTAGTTTCCAACAGCACTGATTCTCCATTTTGCTAATAAACAGTTAGGACGAGGCGAGCAGCGCTAGCATGGTACTACATTGTAAACTGTATAATGCAAGCATTTTTTTCTTTCTTTTTTTTTTTTGCGGACGATGTTCCTTTTTAAGATAATTCAATGGAAAAGTTCATTGTTACCTGTTTCCACAACCCCCATCCGAAACCCCCTCGAGCTCTGTACAGTCAGTTTGAGAGTTTGTTACAGAGTTTGTATAGTTTGAATCATCAACAAACATATTTAAACTCCCCCGTTTCTTTATCTGCCACCCTCAATGAAGTGAAGATATCGGCGTGTTTTATAAAACATAAGATGCAGTGATTTATTTAAATGTTGAGATAATCTTATATTCTGAGGAGAGAGTAAAAAAAAAAAAGGATCACAACACTACTCTTCGGGGCCTTTTTCATTCTGAAGTAACATCAGGAAACGCCTCTCAATAGGGTTGCGAGTCCAGCGAGGCCTGCTCCGGACTTTGTGGAAAGATCCACTTGACTCCACTGTCAAACTTGGAAGCCTTAAATTGGTCCAACTGGTTTGCAGTAAATATTTAACACTGAAGTGGTGATACTAGGTGGTTTCCACACAACGTCAAATGTATCTAATGTGACAGATTATGCAGACTTGTTGAACGAGTATATCTATATAGAATTTACAATTTGATGTGGTTTTTGAAAACATACCGACCGAGTCATCCAACCTGTTGTCGAGACTCTTTCACCCCCACTCCTGGAACATTTGTTGTTGTTTTTCTTTTTTGTTTGTTTTCTTTTCTTTTCTTTTTTTTTGTTTAAAACTACAGTTGGTGTTCATTAAAGTGAAAAAGGATTATAAAAACAAAAGATGTGAAATTAGTACAAGTTGATTTTAATGAGTGAGGTGTGAGTGTGCATGCCTGGAAACAGATTTGTAATTTATTTTGTATTATCTCACACGTTGACACAAGGGAGGAGATGATCATATTGGATTACAAATGGATGACGCAGCACTGTGTGTGTGTGTGTGTGTGTGTGTGTGTGTGTGTGT